CCTCAAGAGTACCTTGGGTTACTAAATTTATGAGCTTTAGTACCGTAACTATTTATTTTATTTATTTGTCGCAACTTAATATAACATTTGCCATGGTATTATATTTTATTTTATCACTTAGGGTGTAACTTTTACAGATTCTTTGCTGGGGGTGGTTTGTACCCTTACAACACCGTGTACAAAGTTATTTGCTCGGTATTGCTAACTTCGTTATTACTGGAGCTACAAAGTCTGTTAAATTAGCAAATTGGTGGAATTTTTTCTTTCGATGAAAATGGTTAAAATAAGAAAACAATAAAATGTCGAGTCTCCAAAATTTTCACAGTAATAACATTTTTTAAACCCTGTACATTTTAACATACTTGTGAATTTTATTTGAAACAAAAAATAATAATTTCATAACTACTAACTGTTGTCAAAGTAATATTTTGGTAATTTCAACAACCATCAGAAAGTTCAAGTGCTTATTAATTGTTTACTTTTTTACTGTTTCTTTTTTTCCATATTAAATTTTCTTTTAAAATATGTAAAATTATTCAGGGTGTCCCATTAAAAAAAATGTTATTTTTGTGAATATTTCGGAAACACGACGTCACCATTTTAATCAGAAAAAAAATGCCACCATATTGATAATTAAACCGATCGAAGCTCCAATAATACCGTAGTTAAAATATTAGCAACAGTGAGCAGATAACTTTAAAACGGTGTATACTCTACTCGTCAAAATTATAAAAATGTAAATAAAAGTCAGTTAATGTAGTACAATTGGGGATTTTTTGTAAATATGTAGTAATAAACACTAAAGTAAAGAAACGAAATTATTTTAAAGAGAATAAATAAAATTTTATTTACCAGAATTATTCAAAGCTTATCACCTTCGATTTTTAACAGGAAAAAAGTGGCAAAATTAATGATAACGCCAAGATAAGCAGCACATTGTCAACAAAGCACAGCAGAGTGTAAGGTACGTGGGAAAGGGCGAAAGACATAAGATCAAACAGTTTAGCTCATAAATAGAAGTAGCAGGATAAGATATCTGTGCCGATGGTACTTTACAAGATATAAATAAAGAAATAATCACATGTTTTGTGTCTGTTTAAAATTCACTTCCCTATTAAAGGTGGTAAATTTATAACAAAGGATAAATAATGATTTGTGAATCTCAATTAATTACGTTTGTTGCACCGATACTTCAAGCGACTAAAAACATTTAGTTAAATTCCATGGTTTTTATTGCCAATTTACATAACAATTACCTAACTGTTTCTGCAAACAACAAAAATTATACTATTAACTTCTATTATCTATTTTTTATTTATTATTATTATTATTAGATTATTGAACCATATTTTATTTAAGTACTTTTAATTGTATTAAAACATACAATAAACAAAATAAGGTTTACCAGATTTATTATTTTTTTAACATTTAACTAAAAAATAACAAACATTAAAATTGTTGATTAAAATTATTCTTAAAAAGTTAAGTTAATATCAAATAAATTATTACTAAAGTACCAACTTTAAAGGTTCTCTTGAAAACATTTATTAAGGAAGCACTTCACAAACCTGTTCAATTCTTTATATTATGTCGATGAGCCTGCATAATATATATGATTATCATTGAAGATATTGCAGCGTATAATTTATTTTCAGATATGCATATTTATATAAAACTAATGGGAGAAATACGAAACAAAATAATTACGCTTTGTCGGGCTTTAAGATTTGACATTTATTATCTTACCTGTCCTCAGCGGATAATTTATAATTTTACTTGTTTGTATTTTATGAATATTTTATTTTATTTAAGTACATATGGCTATATAATTGTAAGTGTTTAAGTTGTCTTTGAGCGTTTAAATAATAATATTGTTTATTAATTTATAAAATATACTTATGCTTGGCATTTAAAACTAATGAGTTTTTTTATTTAATACTTAAAAAATTGCATTGCATAAAAAAGTTGTATTTAAATTTAATTTCCCAAGTAATTTTATTTGAAAATTTAAATTTTAAACCACAACTTAATAATTGTTGTTTTAATTAACAAAAAACAAAGATCTTTGAAATACGCTTTTCGACACAAGACGCCCAAACAAAATAATAAATAAATCATTTAACATTAATTAATCCCGGCGCATTCGCCATTTATGCAAAAAGCAAATATTTTAAAAATACCTGATAACTTGCATATTTTTTAAACATTAAAACCTCCATTTTAAAAATAATGGAACACAATTATAACAACCAATATAGAGACGAATTATTTATTTTAACCTTCTGCTAGATACACAAATTAGAACTGGACATTTAATTAATTTAAAAAAAAAAATACGAAATTGTTGGCACTTAAATTTGTTTTTTTGCCAAATTAAATACGGTTTTACCACTTGTGTACAATATAAAAATCATCAATGTAAGCAGGAAACAGTGGGTTTTGGTAAAAGATTTACTGAGTTTAAAACAAAAATCAATGAGTTTGGGACATTATTTTAGAAATCAGTGTGAAACCACCTGTTACAAAGTCACTAAAAACACCAAAACCTTGAAAAAAATTTTTTTTTAATTCCTAAAATAAATAAATAAATGACATATCGGTAGGTATAATAGACATGTCAAAATTTACAAATGAATTATATATAAAAATTAAAATTTCAAACATACCCAAATTCGTTATAATGTTTTAAAACCATTAACAGCATACATTTTTGAAAATTTCACCTCTAGTACTTTACCTAGGAATTTAAATACTTTAAAGAATATTAAACATAACCTAAAAACCACGGTATTATATACAGTATGTCCATGGATTAGTTACAAAGAGAGATTTTACTTCGATTTTTTAGAAAAATATACTCCGACTAAACTGAAATAATGGTGTCATTGAAGTAAGAATTTATCTAATTTAATGTTATGGTACTGGAGAGCTCTGCTTCAAATTTTATGCAGCTACCCTTATGCTGCAAAATCTCCTGTTTATTACTTATTTATTACAACTTGGCTTTGGCAAATCTCCAAGTAGAACAAAATTATTCCGTTTAAACCTCACTTTAGGCTAACTAAACGTTTATATTATTGTTAGTGGATGAATTTTAAATCAAAGAAATTTTCATATATTTGTTGTTTGTTGTGATTTGGTGTTGGTAGATAAAGTAGTTATAGTAATGTTACATTGGACTGTCGTCATCTTGGTTTTCTTGATTTTCAGAACGTTTTGATTGGTTGTCTCCAATCGTCTTCAGGTGATAATGGTAAAATATTTCGAAACTTTTGTTTAAATAGCTGGTCGATCTTGTTTGATTTCTACGCTTGGTTTGCTAAAAATATTGTTATTCTGGCAGTTAGGTATGCAGCTTCCAGGAATTGTCAGCCAGTGTGATTCTCTGTGTAGAATTTTTGCATTTAACCATGAGATATTGTGGTGTTCCTTCCATGCATGTTCAGCTAATCCAGATTTCGTGGTTTCCACTTTTGTTGTGTGTGTTTTGTGTTTTTTTATACAACAAAAAAACCACTAGAAGGATAAAAGAACACAAAACACACACAACAAAAGGGGAAACCACGAAATCTAGATTAGCTAAACATGCATGGAAGGAACATCACAATATCTCATGGTTAAATGCAAAAATTCTACATTCGACAGTCCAATGTAAGATTACAAAAGGGGAAACCACGAAATCTAGATTAGCTAAACATGCATGGAAGGAACATCAAAATATCTCATGGTTAAATGCAAAAATTCTACATTCGACAGTCCAATGTAATATTACTCGTTGTATGTTCTGATAAGTCTACATTTACAATTATTGGTTTGGTTCATTCCAACATTTTCGATATTGGGGCAGTTGAAATACAGATTTTACCATACCTGTCCGAAGAAAATATTAAAAAAAAGTTAACGTTAGCACAGGTATTTGGAGATGTTACAACACTTTTTATTGAACAAATTAATGAATAGCCATTAAATTATTATAATTTATTGTACTTCCAACATAATGGGTGTCCAGCTCACTATTCTGTCCTGCTAAGCCAAACATACGGGGGTACAATATTAAGTAATAAATGACAAATGTTAAAAACAATAAAATTATAATTTCTAAGGGTATTTCAAAAATAAAAAAAACGTTTTGTAATTTAACAGATGTACCAAGAATTACAAATAAAACGAACATCAGTTATAATATCGCGCTTTTTTCAATGTAACCGTTTTTAATTTTGCGTTTTTCAAAACGTTGTAGCATTCTCAAATATTGTTTGAAAAAGTGGATAAGAAATTTAAATGACAAACCCCTATGCGTAGATTCTAAATGTGCAATATAAACATTGTATATCCCAACCCCATCACAGCTTTTTGTTTAAAACTTATATTGGGACCAAAACATACTAACACAAGGCTGTGTCTTTTCACAGTCAACAAAAGTTTAAAATAGAGGTTTTAAGTTAAAAATTATTAACCCAAATTGATTGACATTATTTTAGTAAAAGTGAGTAATCAACAAAAACAAGATCTGTACAAAAATCTACCTAAATTGAATCCAATACAGCCGACAATTTATTAACATAACTGTCGGCTCTCATTAAACCATTTAAAATCGAAAACAAAAATCTCACTTTTAAAAAGCCATTTGTTTTTTTGCGAGCATGATTTAAAAATCGCATCAAAACAATTATGTCCTTAACAAAATCGTTTTTTGGGAGGTTTGAAACTTGTTTCACTCTTTAAAAGAGTGGCCCAATTCCTACGTGCAATACCAACGCGCGCCTTAATTGCCGCAATTGCCATGTAATTATAATAATTAAAATGGCATACACGTTTCCGGTCTGTAATGGATCTCCCAGAAAAATGTTATTATCCTTATAATTATTACTTATTTTCGCAAGCAACTACCTTTAACATCTTCATTTTCCCCGGCCTTGAATTAACTTCTAACCACGTTTAATGTCTTTGCATAGGTCGTTTAAAAAATAATTATTATTAAATTATTATTTTGAGCCTACCTGTGTTTGACTAGGCAATCTATTTTCTTCTTGTTTTTTATTGCCGGGTGTCCAAACCAGGTATCTTCTTATATTTAGGGATGATGATGTAAGACATACGGCTTTATCTAGTAGTTCTAAAACTTTGTAATCTGCTTCGTTTTCTGCTAGTAGAAGTATTGTGAACTCTTTTTCATTACCATCAACACTGTAAACAAAAAATTATACTAAATTTGTGTTGCAATATTTTTTTTGGCAGTATATTATTACAAGTTTTAGTTTTGCCCTCCGGTTCTCAATAAAAAGCAACATTATCACTTTTGTTGTTTAAAAACCATTGTAGGTACTATGCAAATTAGTGGAAACTAAATATATACTTTCATGGAAATCTAGAGAATAGTGGAAAGGTGTGTACCTAGGATAGAACAAATAAAGGTACCGTATATAGTTATCCAACTAATAGCCTTAAATGGGTCAAATTATATAAGGCGATATCAATATAATGTAAGCAGTGCAGTGATTACCCATTTAACGGACAACAAGCAGTTCAGTAAGGTACTGAACAGATAATCAGATGTAAAATGTTGAAAAGTACATTACAAATGCATTAACATATTAGTGGTCTAGATGTGGGTTTTAGCGACAAGTAGGACATTTACCATTTACCTGCCAATAAAGATTTACATACAATTCTTGTACAAATCAATGTTACCGACGGTAATACTTATGACTGCAGATTTAATCGTCACGTGTTCGGTTACACTTTCGTGATGTTTCTTTAATTATCTTTATTAGGTGAATAAGACGTATAACATTGTCTTCAAAATAAACTGACTATTCCTGATTTCACTTTTGTTTCAATTTATGTGATGATGTGATTATTTTTTTTTTCGTTGGTATTAATATTAAAAAAAATAAAACTTAAAATACTTACGTAGGAATAGAAGCATAGTACAGCAATAACTTGGCGATTTCATATTTATTTAGTCCTGCACGTGATATACATTCTGCATATCCCAGGATAATAGGTCTTCCTTCTTTATCGATAGTTCCTGAAACAAATAAACAACTTTCAGTTAAAATAAAATCTTATCAAAATTAACCAAGATCTACGCTACCCACAACTAAAAATCTTGTATATTCCCTGTAACTATAGCCGCCTTAAGAGCAAAACAATGTTTATTATAAACAATAAATACAAACAAGTTGTAAATGACTGTATGTAAATCAGATTTACGTTCGGCATTATAATAAACAAATAGAAGTTTGAGTCTGGTTTTATACTTCCTGCTCTTAATAGCGACAAAATGGAATATATTAATTACAAATTTCAACACGTACTGTATATCGATGGCGCCAAGTAAAAAATAACTCGGGGTCCTCAAATTAACACATTTAACCCCTTATATTTATGGGTTAAGCCTTAAAATAAGTACACATAATAATGATTTCATTTTTAATCTACAATCCTTGTGTATTTTTTTAGATTTACTTTTATTAATTTGTATCAACAATAAAAAGGTAAAAATGCGTGTCCGGTAAGGTATGCGGATATAATATTATGCAAATTAAAAATTATAAACTGAGTTTTAAAAATTTTCCGAATAAAAAAATCTTCATTAAAGGGAATAAAGTTGCGTGGGATGCATTGCCTAGGTAACGGTGCTTAAAGCATTATACATGTACATTAGGGTGATTCATTTCCGCAAAGTTTTTGTTTTCTTCGGTGCTCAAGCAAAATATTAATCTGCATATAGAAAAAAAAATTCTCAACAAGTTTGAGCTCTTAATATCAATTTTAAGTACTTGCAGTTTAAATTTAAAGTTTTCCCATTTAAAATGCATGTAAAAAAAATGTTTTTTTTTCAAATTTCTAATGCTTATCCACCTTTGACAATATTGCAAATCGGTTTAATACACCTTATGGGGAATTCCACGCTCTTTAAAATTGCTTTTGAGGTTTTTTTTGTAACTCGCATTGGTTCACCAGTAGGAGTCGTCAAAGGACAGTTTTTGAAAAAAATCGGTTTTTTTTTAAATTTTTTTTAACAAACCGCAAAAAGTAGGGAGAAAAGTTTTTGTTTTCTTCGGTGCTCAAGCAAAATATTAATCTGCATATAGAAAAAAAAATTCTCAACAAGTTTGAGCTCTTAATATAAATTTTAAGTACTTACTAGGTATTTAAAGTTTTACCGTTTAAAATGCATGTAAAAAATATATTTTTTTTTCAAATTTCTAATGCTTACCCACCTTTGACAATATTGCAAATCGGTTTAATACACCTTATGGGGAACTTCACGCTCTTTAAAATTGCTTTTGAGTTTTTTTTTTTGTAACTCGCATTGGTTCACCAGTAGGAGTCGTCAAAGGACAGTTTTTGAAAAAAATCGTTTTTTTTTATTTTTTTCTAACAAACCGCAAAAAGTAGGGAGAAAAAAGGGCTGAATCATAAAAAAAAGTTATCCAACCAATATTTAATGAATTTACAGCCATTTTTATAACTGAAAACGTAAGAAATTGATAATTACCAACCTATATTGGGTTAATATTGTATGTCAATATTGGATCAATATTTAATACAAATATAGGACCATTAAAATACAATCTGACGTTTTCATCATTGGGCCAATATGTAAAAATAATATTTTACCAATATTGGTGTGCTACTGGGGATAATGTTATTTAGATTGATTTTTTCTATTTATTATCATTATATTTCCCTACACTAAGAAGTTTTTTAAAATTATTAATTTCTCACTTATAATGAATATGAAAACAACAGATAAATTCATAAAAAAATAGCAAAAAAATATAAATGAAGATTATTTAATTTTTTGAAGCGAAATTTGAAATATGTATGTGTTGTTTTCATATTTATTATGAGTGAGGGAAATATAATGATAATAAATAGAAAAAATCAATCTAAATAACATTATAGGTTGGTATTTATCAATTTCTTACGTTTTCAGTTATAAAAATGGCAGTAATTTCATTAAATATTGGTTGGATAACTTTTTTTTTATGAATCAGCCCTTTTTTCTCACTACTTTTGGCAATTTGCTCGAAAAAATAAAAAAAAAAAATTTTTTTTCAAAAACTGTGCTTTGACGACTCCTACTGGTGAACCAATGCGAGTTACAAAAAAAAACTCAAAAGCAATTTTAAAGAGCGTGAAATTCCCCATAAGGTGTATTAAACCGATTTGCAATATTGTCAAAGGTGGGTAAGCATTAGAAATTTGAAAAAAAAACCATTTTTTTTACATGCATTTTAAATGGGAAAACTTTAAATTTAAACTGCAAGTACTTAAAATTGATATTAAGAGCTCTACCTTGGTGAAAATTTTTTTTTCTATAGGTAGATTAATATTTTGCTTGAGCACCGAAAAAAAACAAAAACTTTGCGGAAATGAATCACCCTAATGTACATTCAATTTTTTTATAAGTGATCATAAAAAAGTGTTGATGGTTGACTGAAAATATAATAATATTAAATTTTTAAATTTTGTATAGTAATTTAATAATAATAATAAGTATTACCCGTAAGTCGGGTGGCTTTAACCTTTTTAAAAAAAATCTTTTCGCGCTCGATTAAATTAATATTTATAATTTGTTGCTCTACACGTTTAATAAAGCGATAGAGTTTTTATTATCCTTTGTAATAATTGATCCTTGGTTAATTACAGATCATTTATATATTAATATTTTTAAAATTGAAAATGCCTGTACATAGAAAACTTGCTCTCTTAAAATGAATTAGTCAAAAATAACTAATTATAAGTCATATTTGACTAACTGTCATAATAATTAGTCAAATTCTACTGAATAAAATAGTCAAATTAGAAGATTTAAATTAAAAAAAAGTTTTGACCCCGCCGGGGATTGAACTCAGGTCTGTGACTTGCCAAGCTGTTGTCATAACCCATTTGGCCATCAGCCGCTCTTATAAAAATTTGTGTTGCTGTTTTGAGCAAAACTTTTTGCATCTGTATTTGTTTTTATGGGTCATTTAACCATGGAGCTTAGGTATAAGCATTTAATTCAAAAAATACTTTGTTGTTGGCCGCAAACGATTAAAGAAATTAGTTACGTTTAACTCTCAGAAATAGTCAAAGATGGTGACTAATCTTTAATTAGTCAAACTTTAACTATTTACGTAGTAAAAAATAACTATTTAAAAGTGAAAACGACTATTTTATTAGTAAAAAATGCTGGTACCAATTCAAATGGTAGAATTTTGACTATCATTTTTAGAGAGTGTGTATGACAAAAATATTTTTTTTGTGAAAAAAAAAGATTTAATTTCTTCCATCGCCCCAGAGTCATCTTAAATATAAAATTTGTAATATGCAGACGAGGGAAAAAGGTTTTTTTTTGAGCCAAGATTTTTTAAGAGCATAACTAACTTTTCCAAAATTGAGTACATTGATTTTCAAAAAAACGAGCAATTTTTAAAATACAAATATTTTTTTGCCTTGTTTTTCTTTGTGCTCAACTTAAATTACTTATATTCAAAATAAACATATTGTTTGAAAAAAAAATTATATTTATATTACCACCGTTTTTTGCCCAAGGTCAAATATTATTATTTATGTTTACCATGGACCTGCGAAAGTGCAAGGAATTTAAAATAAATTTTTTTCACCAAAATGTTTATTTTAAACATAATTAACTTTTCCAAAATAGAACACTTTGATTTTTAAAAAACATTACGTCAAAATTTTTTATTGGGATGGATACTTTATTTTCGTATAGATGTCGCTTTATATTTAATTTAAATAATTTTGTAGATAATATTAAGTATTTGTCGTAGAAAAAGTATACTATGCAACTCGTCTATAAACTTTTCTAGGCACTTATTTAATTAAGAACTCGCTCGCAAGCTCACTCGTGTCTAAATTAAATTCGTGACTAAAATTGCGTTTATTAAACTTGATACATAATATACTATAATAAAGGCAAAGCATATTTTAGAATTTTAAAAAGTTTTGAATCCCATTTTTAAATAATAAACAGATTGTAAATTGTAAAATATTACTTAATATCATTTTTGCCTTTAAATTTTCTCAATTTGTTTGTTTTGCCCGTGAAAAAATATTTTCTTAAATATAACATAATTTGAAATCTTGTGGATCGTTATCCTTATAATTTAGATACTATATATTACAAAAAAACCTCTTTATCAGACTAATTTAAGGGTGCCCAGACAAAATAAGCAAAATCGTAAGCCACAATTTCATGGTATTATTTCGTTCACTGTCGATTTTCTCACGGTCGGTCCACCGCAAGTAGGTACGCCTGACCTATGCTACGCTGATTAACATAGACTCCCGGTGTCATAGCGTATGGCACCCACTCCTCCCAAATCGTGCTTTGGATCTGGCCTACCAAGTTGCCTCCTCCTCCTCATCTCATACCAACATCGTTCATCGACGATAATTTTATTAAATACCTTGGTAATTATAAATTTTATATTGGTATTTGTAATTTGTTTTATGATTAATTAATAATTTTTATAATAAAAATTTTAATTTTAACCACAAATGTTAAAATGTTATTTTAGTTCTACTTCATTACAAACAGGATAGTTGTGGAAGTACCAGCAAAATTAACTTAAAATACCTTTATAATTTTATCCAATTAACATTTCTATCGTGTTAATTAAAGTAACCTAATAAATATTACTTAATAAGCACAAACTGAACTATTTAAAAATTGTAAATTAATTTATCACAATCTTAAATTTCCCTATAAAGAGGATATCGGTAATTGGCAGCCTAAATTGCCAATGCAATTAGCATCAATGGACACAACCTTTCTCCGACATCGGTGAACCATAAAACTACTGATAGCAAACACAACCAAATACAAATTAATGCCTTACACCAGCGATACATGAATTGCTGAAGATTTATAAATTTTATTTGCATTTGAATTAAAGATTGTGAAAATATAGGTTATTGGAACTAATACATAGCTCTCTATATGGTTTAATATTGATAGACCTTTTTAGGTATTTTACATCTCCAATTGCTTATTTAAACAGTACAGTT